CTGCTTCAGGTTCAAGATCAGGAAGAATTTGCTGACAGCATGGAGTGGCCTTGAGCCAACTATTGAAGGAAACTGTGGAATCTCCGCTTAAAATATCTCAGCGGCTAATTAGTTTGGAACCCAGAGACATTTGAGTGACTTCTGGATGTCATGCCCATACTAACAGTTCTGCATCTGCTGAATTACAGTAGAGACAGATTTCTTTTTTAAAATCAATAGCTTTCTTAGTATTCCCTTTAATTGAGTTAAAATGGGTTTGCTCAGCTCCTAATACATTCCAGGCATGCTGTTAGGTCTCAGAAATACAGAAATGAATAAGACACAATCCCTGTCCTCAAAGAAGTCAGGGATCAGTAGGAGACTAGCTATAATCCAGCAGGCGACTAACAGATGTGTTACTTATAACATCAGAATTATGTTTACAAAGTTCAAAAGAGGAAGAGAGGCCTTCTCCAAAGAAGCCAAACATTAGCTGGATTTGAGTGACCAAGGCTGGAGCACCAGAACAAGCTTCGTGTGCGGCAGACCTGGGCTTGAATCCCAAGTCTCACTGTTATTAACACCAGTTTGGGCAACTTCCTTAAATTCTTCGTGTGTGTGTGTGTGTGTGTGTGTGTGTGTGTGTGAGCCGGCACACACGTGTGGCTTGGCTCATTATGTTATATTGTAGTAATGGCTTACATCTTTCTTGTTGTCATCATTTTCTTCAGGCAATGGAGGAAAAGACAGATTTCTGTGGCAGGGAATACAATATCCCCTGAAAGAGTGGGCGTTCCCTGCCCAACTTAAGAGGGTATTTCAACTGTCCATGCCCAAGAGAAAGACTTCACTACATTTCTTGCCCCAATCTTCAACATAAAAGGCCACTGTGTCTTAAGACCTAAAGATTTATGATCTCTGCCATAAGCTACCCTGAGACAGACATGACTTCAGAATATGGGGAAAGATATAAGTAAAAGAAAACACTAACTACTTAAATATATCCTCTTCTACAGAATGAATGCAAAAGATTCTCTTAAAACACATCATTTTCCAGCAGTGCCAAGCATCCATTGTCTGACATCACTCTGTGTTCTTGCTCATGGTTCTTGAGGTACTCACAAACTGTACAGCTATTTTCAAAAGCTGCACATGGAAACTACAGAACATTCTGCAACATCAAAGAACCTGTATTACCGATAAAGTTGTATATACAGAAATCTAGATATAAAATGTGTGAAATGCAATACAGATTGTTTTTTGCATTGGCAACCAAATAGATATTAAACACTAGAATACTGAAACATTTAATTTTCATAAACTGGTAAGAATTTGTAAATTTTTCAAACATATTAAATGTATTTCCATTTTAAATTATTTTTGCTATATTTAAAGAAGTTTTTAAAAGCTTAAAAATATCTGCAATATGGAAGCCAGCCTCTAAATTGGTCCCCACTGATGCCCACCTCCTCATATTCCTGCCCTGGCACAATCCCCACACTCCTTGTGTGTGGGCTAGATCTAATGAATGGAATGTGTAAAAGTGATGGGATGTTACAATAAAGACCTTGACTCCTATCTTGCTCACCTTCTATTGGTTCGTCTTTACCTATCAAAGCCCTTGCTCCATAAAAAACCAACTACCACATTATGAGTAGTCTTGTGGAGAGCCTCACAAGGCAAAAAATGATGTTTCCGGTCAATCGGCAGCAAGTACCTGAATGTATCAAAAACAATGTGAGTGAGGTTGGAAGCAGATCCCACCCACTGAGTGAGTCAACCCTTGAAATAATTGCATCACTGTCTGATAACTTGATACAAGCCTTGTGCCACACCCAGTCAGAGGTACCCAGCTAAGCCACAACTAGATTCCTGATCCACAGGAAATGCATTTGTCAAATTTAAGCCATTAAGTTTGGGGATTATTTGTTATGAGTAACAGATAACAAGCATATGCAGGGAAAATAAAACTACATAAAATTACCTAAGCATATTTAAAAATTAAATAAATACAAACTCTAAAAATAAAAAGCACAATAATCAAAACTGAAAAAACTCAATATAATAGGTTTAATAGCAAACTAAATGTAGTTGAGAAGAGAATTAGCAAACCAGAAGGCAGATCAAAAGTGATGACCATAATACAGTCTAGAAAGGCAAAATAAAGAGATTAAGATAAATGAAAGATAAAGAAGTAGGTCCAAAATACATTTAATCATAAGTCCAAAAGCAGAGGAGCAAAAGACTGGCAGAGAAAATATCTGAAGAGATAATGAAAAAGAATATTCCAGGTCTGATGAGAAAGACACCAATCTACACATTCAAGAAGTCCAGTAAATCTCATATAGGATAAATACAAGGAAACCCATTCCTAGACACATCAAAGATGGATTTCAGAAGTCCAGAGCTCCCCTCTCCCCAAAAAAGGCAGATTATTTACATGGAAAAACAATTAGACTTACAGCCAATTTCCTAACTATAGCAATGGAAGCCAGAAGGCAAGTGGACAAGTGTTGAAAAAAGAAACTGCTACATAATGGAAAACAAAAACAAAAACAAAAAACCACTATCTAGACTGAGAGTAAAATAAGAATATTTTCAGGAAAAAAAAGTGAGACTAAATTTTAAAAGACTTACTTCAAGCCAAAAGGCAAGAGATCCCAAACAGAGGGTCTGAGATACAAGAAAGAATTAAAACAAAGATACTGGTAAATATCTAAATCTAAATCAAAGACTGACTGCAACAAAAACTCTAATGTATTCTGAGGTCAAAAAATTATAGATAATTAAAAACTGTGACCCTACTTCCTCACTTCTAATCAAATGATCTTTCAATTAGATTCCTCAGCCAGCAATTCCACTTACCTTTAACAATCAATAATCCAAAGGAAGTATTTTTAAAGGCTGTATTGAAATGTTTTTAGGTACTTATATTTAAAAATCAATTTGGAGTCAATGACTGAATACTCTCATACTTTAAAAAGTATCCAGGTAATTGAAAAAAACAGACATGCTATGAATGAATCTCTACTACATGGTGTTGGCTGACGGCGTAACAATCTCTCTGGATAATGGCTAAATCCTCCATTTCACCCTAAACTACTGACACCCAGCATGAGGCTACTGATACTTGAGACACGGTTTCTAATTTTCAAAAGGCTTTAGTGCATAATGATCAAGAGAAGAGAAACTAATGTTTGTTGATTGCCTGACATACGTTTTTTACTAAACTAAGTATTTTATAGAGATTTATCATATTTAGTCCTCACAACAGCCTATAAAGTGAGTACAGGTACTTTCTTTGTACAGATGAATATATTCAAACTAGAGAGGTAGACAAGCGTGCCCCGAATGCCAGAGTCTGGATTCAATACTTCTAAAGAAGGAACAATACCACAACTCCCAAAGGGTCTCTGAGTAAAATGAACTCAAACTTTGCAAGGTGCATTTTATCCCAGAGTGTTATACTGACAGATAAAGCACCAACGATGTGCTACAAAATTGGACTCTGTGTTGTGCCAGTCATCACCTCTTTAAGTTGCTGGGGAAAAGTCTAGGGTAGTAATAGAGGCAATCAGAGAGCTCAGGAAAGCATCTATTTACCAACTGGTATGGAAGCATTTCAATATTGCAACAACTGGTAACACTGTACCAGCGCCAACCTGCCGAAAAATAAATCCTTGGAAATCTTTGACTCGAAATTTGCAGTTATGCAGAAGCAAACTGAGACTAATCACGTCAGTCACATGACTGAGTAAGCGATATGGGGGCACTACGCCCATTTCAGTTCTCAATGATTGGTTAAGACTAGTCCAACTTTAATTCAGCTGAAGAGAAGATATAAATCAATGCTTTTGAAGTTTTTAACCCATTTCCCCCCGACAACGTATTCTCATACTTTTCTATCCCATACAGACCATTTAATGAACAAGTTCATGCTAATAACTGTGCTACCTGAAGTCTCAGTGATCAAATTCTTAGTGTATTTGATAAGCACCAACTACAACATTCCCTGCATCATTCAACGAGCACATCTTGGACTACTTAACAGGAACGGAGAGCTCAGCGTGTGGAATGGGTAATGGCACACCACAAAACCCACAGATTGTAAGGATTCACCGCAACAGTACTGTACTCTGATTTAACATGTGAAGCCCTCCCTAACAAACGACTTAAACAGTGATTTTTAAAAAGGCACCTTGTTATTATAATTCAAACTCACATAAAATATAGCCAAAATATTTTTCAGGTTGGTGATAAAACCCTATATTATGTAAGCAGGCCATTCTTGGAAAATATTTGAAAGTTATGTAGAGCAAAAAAGGAAAAAAGAGAAAATGCTAAATATTAAATATGTGATAAAAACTATATTTGAAAAAGTGTCATGGCACAATTTTAACCACAGTTATAAATGATATGTACTTGATTAACTTCTCAACACTAGATTAAAGTAGCCTTTTTCATAAAGACAGACTGTGAAATAGTCCACGCATCTCTCATAGTACAATTTTCATTCCTCTTTTGATTGAAAACGAAATGTTTTATTTTATAGATCATCACAAACTGCGATTAGTAAAGTGAGATTGTAGTAAAAAGAAGCTAAGAGTAATTATATCTTAAGTACAGCAATAAGAATGTCTCCTGTCCTTTCTATACATATATTTCATATATATATTTCCTTCAGGGACTCTGTTAGGATTCTACTTTTCTAAATTAAAACACACCGACACATACTGACACATTTAAAAAAGAGCAGATCATAGGCCGTAATTCTGCTTTCCCTGATATTACTGAAAATGCATCTCATTCTTTCTTCAATACAGGCCCCTTCCAATCTTAAGAGATAGAATGTATCTCCCCTATTTAAGAGGCCTCACCTTGCTACGCAAAGGGAAGCAAATTCTCAAAAGGTCAACAGCTTAGTTGTTCCACAAACACTAACATTTTAAAAATAGGAAATTGCATTTGGAGCAACTGGAAAATGCAACTCGGAAGGGACGTTTAACGTGGGGGCTACTCACCACTCCTGGCTCACAGTTGTGATGGCAATGCTTGGAAGCGTCATCAAAGGAAGCGTGGTGGGTCTGGAAATGCCATCTCCCTCAGGAGTCCTGGCCCTTCCGCTCTGTCTTTGGGACAGTGGTGGTAACTGCAAGTTTCCTGAGCAACATCTCCTTCCTCTCCAGAGGTCGATCCCCAGCGTGTTACTAGAAGAACTGTAGGATTTACTCAGGCTACACTCAAAATAATCTTTCACAGTCTAGAGGAACCACAGGGAAAGAGAAAAGAAGAAAAAGAAAATGAAATTTAAACGTTTAAGACGATGCACACTGGAGTAAAATAAGAAACTAAATGATCAAGCTGTCGCTCAAGGTTCTCATTCGTTATTTCACAATCAGAATCTAACACTGACATCAAAAGCTTAAGAGGAAACAAAGGCACAGGGGCCAATTCTCAAATTTTAAACATATCAATTGCACGTTCTTAGTGATCTTTAGGACTAAGATAATATTTGCCAGTTATAGCATGTTAGATTGGAAGGATTTTATCTTCTTTATCTTTTTAAATTTTTTCTTTCTCTTTTTTTTTAATTTGCTAAAATGAAAGCTTATCATTGAAATATATTTTGGATATCAATGTTATCATTGTATAACATGAGAACAAACTACACTAGCTAAAACATAACATTTCTTCTTCAATGTTTTGAAGTAAAAATATTTTCTATCTCGGGTCAGCAAGATACAGAAAATTGCGGGTGACTGTTCCTATTCTTATAAAAGGTCTTTGCAGGACTAGGGTGTTTTTCGTTTGGTCAAACATACAAGAGCTCAGAAAAAAGATGAGTATACTTTATGTAGCCCTGAACTGAACTGCCATGTGTTCCACACACGTCCTAATGCTGACATGAATGAAATACTTGTGAGAAGATAGAGGCATCGCATTATAACCAGTGATAAGTGTGACTCATTCTTCCTGTATCTCTTGGTGACTATGGTTCCTGGTACTGTGGGGAGTAATGGAGCCTTTGCCTGATTCACCATTCATACCAGCTCAAAGACAGAAAATGTTACAGCAATGCAAATGGCCACTGGTAGCAACGTGGAGTTTAAAAGTTATCACTGTCACTCTCCACTAGTA